CCTCTGGTTCACAATGCTGCCCCCCATGGACTGTTTGAAGTATCCTCGCGCTCTCTTCCTGATTCTTGTAAGCACTTTCTTAAGTGTGGCAAGGAAGTTTCGGAATCTCCACCCCAAGGCTCAAGGTTCAAGGTTTTCAGGCTCATCCACCCAAAGCCCCACCCGCCTGGCGCCATGACTTTGACAAATGTACCAAGGCTGCACACTCAGCCTGCACTGGCAGCTCTCTCACCCCTACACTCAGAGGCTCACCCTGATTTTCAGCAGCTGGCCTGGAAGCTGCAGGAGCCTTAGAACCTGGTGGAAAGCTCCTGTGGCTTTTACCCGTGTTAAGGCGGCTGTTAGCTGCCTGAGACGGGCATTTGCTTTCTTGCAAGATTTCCATGCTATCGAGGTACTTCAAAACACTCATGGAAAGTGGAATTAAAATATGTTTATTTGGGGAGTTGATGTTGTGGCAATGCAGGTTAAACTGCTGCTTGAGACGCCACAGGCATCCGGTATCAGAGTGCTGGTGCAAGTCCTGGCTGCTCTGTGTCTGACCCAGCTCCCTGCACCTGGGAAGGCAGCAGAAGATGGCCAAGTACCTGGGCCCCTGCACCCATGTGGGAGACCAGGATGGAGTTCCTGGCTCCTGGCTTCGGCCTGGCCCAGCCTTGGTTGTTAGGACAATTTGGGGTGTGAACTAGCAGATGAAAGATCTGTCCCCTTTCCCTGTCCCTCTGCTTTTCAAATAAAAAAAAATCTTGTTTTTTAAAGATGTCTTTTTGGATGCAAAAAGCCTAGTTTTTCATGTATACATTTCCATAAACTTTTTGAAGACCTTTTTTTTAAAAAAAAAGATTTATTTTATTTATTTGAAAGACAGAGTTACAGAGAGAGGTAGAGACAGAGAGAGAGGTCTTCCATCTGCTGATTCACTCCCTAGATGGCTGCAACAGCCAGAGCTGTGCCGATCCGAAGCCAGGATCCAGGAGCTTCTTCTGGGTCTCCTACATGGGTGCAGGGGCCCAAGGACTTGGGCCATCTTCTACTGCTATCCCAGGCCATAGCAGAGAGCTGGATTGAAAGTGGAGCAGCCAGGACTCGAACTAGCACCCATATGGGATGCCGGAGCTTCATGCCAGGGCTTTCATCCACTGTGCCACAGCGCCGACCCCTTGAAGACCCTTTGTAACAGTAAAAGCTAGCCTACTCTACATTTCCTAAAATTATCATTACTCCCAAACCAGCCAAATGTCACGGACACCCCATTTTCTGGCCCAATCCTGCCTTCCACTTGCACCCACCCCTGCTCAGCACAGGTGGTTCTGGTGCGACTTCACACCGAGGGCCATGGCTAACCTCCTGACTCAGTCCCTGTTGCCATTGGAACAGTCATGATTGGACTTCACAACCCCACCCTGAGACACTCCTTCCTAGGACCACTCTAGGGACCCGCTAGCTTAGGGGCAAGTGGTGTGTATGGCTATGGGGTGAGGTGCAAGGCACAGTGTGTGTGAAGCCAGGGCAGCCCATGCGGAGCTGGCCACGGTAGCAAGGCAGGGCCAGACACGGTCAGGGCTGAGGCGGGGTGTGTGTGTGTGTGTGTGTGAACATGGGGCTGGGAAGCTCGGATGAGGCATTAAGAGACGTCTGAGCCCAAGACAGATCATGGATTTTCTTTCTAAGCGAGCTCCCCCCATTTGCATTTATTGATGTCATGTGATGGATGGGCTCGGTCCTCACTCTGGTATCTTATCTGATGTCAGCTTTCTCCCCTGAGTGCTTCCTTTGTTTGTGTCTTGGGCTCTGCGGTGTGCGGGTGTGCGTGCGTGTTTTCTGGGGGCTACTTCCCTGCACTGGCGGCAACGTCGCGTGCTATTTCTCGGGGAAACCACCCGACTTTGTCAGGACGAGACATGTCACTATGCAAACATGCGAGCTGATGCAGGCAGCCTGCGACTGCAGGCACGTGCACGCTCCCTTTTGCTTTGCTGCTATGTGTTTGTGCCTGACACAGAAATCCTGACAGAGCCTTGTCCTCCCAATGCCCATCAAGAGAGAGGTGGGGGGAAAGGTCGGCGTGTTTGTAATTACATGCACAGCTTCAGCGAGACCATTCCTAAGAGAACTTCGATTTTGACTTGTGTTAATGAGAACCAAATCCTTCTCTTACAGTTTCACCTGTCTGATGGCTGGAAGAATTTTCTACATACTAGCTTCTTGTTCTTTGTGTTTCATACCTTGTTCCTTTTTTTTTTTTTTTTTACAAAATCTTATTTATTTATTTTAATTTTATTTGAGAGACAGAGACAAGGCAAAGTGATCATCCTCATTTATTGATTGACCCCCTCCCCCGCCATGCCCCTAACAGTTGGGGTGGGAGTGGGAACTCCATCCGGGTCCCCCAGGTAGGTGCAGGAGCCCAAGCACTTGGTCCGGCCTCCTCTGCTTTCCCAGGTGCATCAGCAGGGACCTAGCCCCGAAGCAGAACAGCTGGGACTTGAACCCATACTCTATGGGATGCTGGCATTGGGAGAGGTGGCTTAACCCACTGTTGTCACTATGCTGGCCTCTCAAATAAATTCAGAAAATAAATTTAAAAAATTTTAAAAGGCTGTTTAGTGATGAGAACACCAGAGCAAGCAGGGTCGGCCGGCCGGAGGAGGACGGGAGTGTTGAATTGTGGAATCTGAGGTGCCTGGATGCTGGATCTTTGGCTGCCTTAACAAAGATGTTAAGAAAGGACGAGTTTAGAGCAACAGAACTTTCTGTAATAACGACAAAGCTCTGCGTTTGCACTAACTGCCCGTCGCTATTGAGCACTGCAAATGTGGCCAAGGAGATGGAGGAACTGAATTTTAAATCTTATCTGGGCTTACTTAAAATTTAAGTAGCCACACATGGCTAGTCCTACCACGGAGGGCACCAGTACAGACACAGCCTGAGCAGCCATAGAGGCCAGACAGGGGGCGGGGCCTGCCACTCCCTTAAACACAATGGCTGGGCCCATGGTGCTTTTAGAGACTGTTTTAATGTCTTTGAAGACCAGCAAGAAAAAAAAAATGTGTAAGCTAAAAGAGATGCTGTAATGTATAATATCAGTAGAGGCAGGCACCTTTATGCTAACGCAGTGGTCAAATAAAACATAAACAGGGGCTGGCGCTGTGGCATAGAGGGTAAAGCTGCCACCTGCAGTGCCGGCATCCCATATGGGCACCGGTTTGAGTCCTGGCTGCTCCACTTCCGATCCAGCTCTCTGCTGTGGCCTGGGAAAGCAGTGGAAGATGGCCCAAGTCCTTGGGCCCCTGCACCCGCGTGGGAGACTGGGAGGAAGCTCCTGGCTTTGGATTGGCCCAGCTCTGGCAATTGCAGCCATTTGGGGAGTGAACCAGTGGAGGGAACACCTCTCTCCCTCTCCTTCTCTCTCTGTGTAATTCTGACTTTCAAATAAAGAAATTAATCTTTTTTTTTTTTTTTTGACAGGCAGAGTGGACAGTGAGAGAGAGAGACAGAGAGAAAGGTCTTCCTTTACAGTTGGTTCACCCTCCAATGGCCGCCGCAGCGCACCGCGCTTATCCCAAGGCAGGAGCCAGGTGCTTCTCCTGGTCTCCCATGGGGTGCAGGGCCCAAGCACTTGGGCCATCCTCCACTGCCTTCCCAGGCCACAGCAGAGAGCTGGCCTGGAAGAGGAGCAGCCGGGACAGACTCCGACTCCCCAATGGGGACTAGAACCCGGTGTGCTGGCGCC